TCCTAGAGCAGGATTTCTAAATGTATATGGCAGGATTGCAGAATTTCCTAAGAGCAGGATTTCTAAATGCACGTGGCAGCGTAGAACATAATAGTAAGGTGCTAATTATTAGCAGATTTTAACACATGATTTTGTATAGGTGCACATGCTGAAACAATAAACATGAGACCTAAGGGCATGATTTCTAATGAATGTATGAACCCTAAGCATGATTTCTTTTGCGCAATTAGGAACATAAACCTAATAATATGTTTTCTATCCTTAACAACTATAACATGTATATTAACTCCATCCTTTTTCACTAGCCAACCCCAATACTGATTTACAACAAATTATTACAGGCCAACATGAAATGAATTACATAAGTGGAAATGAAAATAAGAAGTTATACTATAGGAATTCTGATTAGGACTTCCTCTCTGAATTATATAATCAATCACCTCAAGTGCCAAGATTGTTCCATAACCTTTCTCATATCCGAGTGTGTCAGAGTTCCCTAAGGACCTCAAACGATCCCGAGCCGTGCTCACACCCGATTGTATAACCAAGACAGAGTAAGTGCAGTATGGAAGGGCCAGCTTTTGTGTGTCCAAGTTCAGAGGGAGCTCAAGAGTCCTAAAGCAAGGCTCACACAAAAGGGGCAGAACCTAGTAATCTAAGAGTATATGTGAGAGTGCTTGACATAGATTTAAAAGAGTTTAGTTGGGAAATAGTTTGAACAGCATATTTGAAATAAGCTTGCAAAATATTAGAAGAGTTTGCCTTAGGGAAAATAACTTTTGAAAGGAGGAGGGAATAGGAGTAACAACAACTTAGAACAAACCAGAACACACAAGTCAAATTCAAAGAATAGGATCATTTCAACATTCACAAGCAGGGAAACAAGGGGGTTGGGGACATATAGGTTTGAAACCACATAGATAAGGAAAATATTTGACACAACAAGCATACAGAACAACTTTGAGTCTACTGAGCAAATCAGTCATGATAACAACTATTTAAAACATGGGGAAGAATGCAGCAGGATCATGTTGAAGACAAGAGTTTTGTTGAATAAAATTCGACACACTATTAGGGCCAATAGAATGCACCAGAAAATTAAGTAACTACATGGTCATACTAGTTAAAGAAAAGGGGGTTAAGGAACTAAGTAAGCATGCTAGAGAAGTATCAAGAAACTAAGTAAAATATGATATGATGATTATACATAAGGCAGGAGTTAGACATGCTTAGTAACAGCAAAACATAGGGATAAGTTGAAGAACTAGAACAGTAACAAGCATGGATGTGTAGGAATGGAACACATGAAGTTTGAGTTTCAGAATTGAACCAGGAACATACCAGTTAAGGAGGCAAAATGCAGAAAAGTAAAGCAAGTAGAGTTCCATAGCCTAGCCTTGGCTTTGAGCCGGCTAGACAAGCAGTAGCACAAGTAGCAGAGAAAGAAGAGAAAGTCTGTGTGTGTATGTGTGTGTATTTTTTAACTAATTGTTCGTGTCTTGAATTGAGAGTAGAAGAGAGTACATATAGTAGTTAGGAGTGGGGCAGAATAAGGTAAAGAAATCATAATTCAACAATCAAGGAAATTACATATGAAATTAGCATAGTCTTCCTGCAAATACCCAACGGTTAAAGGACACGAGTCACTTAAGGAAGAAAATCAAATCAGACCCAAGTAAAGAGGTAAGCAAATAGAAGTTTAATTAAAGAAGTAATCGTGAAGAATCAGCGATATTACGGACAATAAGGTAATAAGAATAATCAGAGTTATAAACAAGGGAATGAATCAATAATCATCACATAATTTTAAACAATCAAATCAGTCAATCGAGATTCAAAATAATGTTGATTTGAAGAGAGGGAAAATATCAGTTTCCCATAAATAGACAAATAGGCAAAAAATAGAATTTCATAAAAATACATAAACTTGCCAAGGGATCGACTTAGAAACCCTAGTAGAGATAAACTAGGGTAAAAGTCACAAGATACTGAATTAGGCTAAAGGGGAAAATAATGAAAGTCAAAGTACAACACCAACAATGCAACAAGTAGCTCATAAAGACTCAGAATTGAAACAAAAATATAAGAAAATTAGGGCTTTAACAAAACTAGTTAGAGTCCAGACAATTTTAGCAGAAATCAGTCAATAATACCTAAGAACATATGATTAACATACGAAAATCATGCAAACTTTGAGAAGATGAGTTTCAGTAAACCCTAGTTTAGAAAAGAGCAACTAAAATCGAAATAGTTACTCAAAACAGGTGATTTTTTAAAGGAAAACGTTTAATAACACTGGAATCATCTCAGATCTATAAATAACTGAGCAGAATCGAACAATAGTGAGTATAGGGTTTCGAAAAATAGTAAAGATGAAGAAAAATCGGTTAAAAACTCATGGATACACTTAGATCTAAGATAGATCTAAAGAAAAGTGGAAAATCTCAAGAGCTAGGGTTTCAGAGAACCCAAAGAAGGTGAAAAAATATTAGATTGTTACCGGTTTTAGTCGGAAAGGCCATGGATCTTACTCGAATAGCCATGGATGGCCGGAAAGTAGCATAAAAGACCATGGATAGAAGTTGAATAAGATCTGAACTAGATCTCTTCGAGATCATTCCATGAAATCACAAAAATAGGCAACTAGGAGACGTAGGAGACAAGTATATGCCTCGAACAACCATGGGAATCCATGGATTGAGTGAGGATCAAAGGGGATTGGGATGGTTTTAGGTGGCGGTGGCTAGGGTTTGAGTTAGGTTTCAGAGAGAATTGGAGAGGAAAGGGGATTCAAGGGCGGCGGATTGTAACAAATGAGTTAGATTAGGGGGTCGTTTGGGTTAAAAAGGTAAGGGGAAATAGGGGCCATTGATCTTAGAGATCAACGGCTAGGATGAGATGGGTAGGTGTGGTTTCGGATTTGGTCATGGGTAAAGAGGGTGTGGGTCGGGAAATTGGGGTCCAATTTTGGGCTACAATTGAAAGCCAATTTAGCTATATTTTAAATAGCCATTTTTCCCCTATTTAATTTATAAAAAATAATAAATAGTTTCTGAAAACTAATTTAAAGGGCTAAAATGATTTATAATACATAATTAAAAATTTTAAAAGATACATGATCCATTTTTATGTGTATAAAACATAATAAATCTAAAAAAGGCTAGTATTGCAATTATGTGCAATTTAGCTTTAAAAATACTAAATAAAATTGTAAAAATTACTTTAGCCATATTTTGGAATACGTATAGAAATACAATAGATGAATTATCAAAATAATAATTTTAGAAATAATTATGGGGATTTTATGGATAAAAAAGGGAGAAAATAAATCAATTTAAACTTTTAAAATTATGGAAAAAAATAATAAAAACTTAGGACATGCTTATATATGCATATATATTCTATTTTGAAGGCATTTTGCATATTGAAAATATATAGGGAAAAATTTGGTATCAACAGCTGCCCCTCTTTACCCGGGAAGAGTGAAAGAGTTTCCGGGTAAAGAAATGATGGCCAATTTTGATCGAGCGAAATGGTTTGAAGAGGTTTAGGCCGCACCCGGGCTTCTGAGTTGCCTACATATCCCTGGTTTCACAGGAATCAGGTTGTATGTAGTTCAGGATTCACCGGCGGAGTATACCGATGAAGACCTTTCAAGAACGGACACAATATCTAGGGCCGGGTGAGTGAACAGTTTACGGGAATGGTTAGGTTTGATATGGCTGCGGGCACCAGAGTAGAATCGCTCCTGCCAGGATGGCCGTTGCTCGCCTCCTTACTTGCAAATAAGCAATACAAGCATATACTGTGCATAAATTTAAACATGATGCAAATTCCCGTTTGACCATGAATGTTGTATTTGGACGGATTAAAATGGCGTCCTCAAACCATGATGTCCTGGGCCATGAAGCATATGATAAAGGATTCGCAGGTCATGAAATGATGTTCTCAGGCTATGAGAATGGTGTCTCCGAACCATGACGCCTTTGAATAATGATATGCAAAAGATTGAAAGAGATCCTCAGGCCATGACATGGTGTTTTAGGGCTATGAAGATGGTTCCTCCAAACGATGACGCCTTTGGATGAGTTGGCGATATTTCAGCCTATGAAAGGATGCAGTAATATGATGCGGACAAGACAGAGCTTAGTCTTACGAATTGAAGGGCAGAGCTTAGCCCGTAAGAGAACCGAGATAAATAGTTCTTGGGATAGAGCTTAGTTTCGAAGAAAATTGTAGGCAGAGCTTAGCCTCGGAAGGTAGAATGATAGCCTTACACTAATGGAAAATTCACCTTTGACTACGCATGGAAAACCGTTCCAATAGGTAAGTAAATTGTTGCCATAGATGTAACAGTTCAGCACCCGTTCCACAAGATGTCGTGCCCATAGAGCTTATGGAATGGTGTTTGGAACAGTTCCAATAACCGTTGCTATAGTACAGTCTATCGCTACGGTTTTCCCTCTGCTTGTTGGAATGATTATTCTTATCAACTGCAACGGTTAATAACCGTTACCATAACGTTAAATGCAATGGTCAATAGCCGTTACTATATCTATTTAACCGTTACGGGTATTGTAGAAATGGCAACGGTTTCTTTAAGATATTGCTACGATTGATCTACCTATTGCAACAATTTTTAGATTATTTTGGAACGGTTTGCATGTCCTATGGAAACGGTTCGCTTACATATTGCAACGGTTTTTAGATTATTTTGGAACGGTTTGCAGATCCTATTGCAACGGTTCTTAGATTATTTGGAACAGTTTGCATGTCCTATGGCAACAATTGAACTATCTATTGTAACGGTTTTATATTATTTTGGAACGGTTTGCAGGTCCTATGACAACGGTTTTGTTAGCTGTAACAATTTAATTGAATTGAAAATAGTGCCCCCTGTTGTAAATAAAGATTTAACATATATATACAATAAACTATAAAACACTAAAATTTATATAAATAACAAAATGAAACTATTCATAATCCAAATTGTTCGACAAACTAATAATAAATCCATAGATAGTGATGAAACCGATAACATACATTTGATATTTCAAGATCAAAAGTTTTAAAATATTTTGATAACAAACATTCCTAGAAACCGCCACATGCATCTACAACAATCAATAATTCAAAATTCAAGTAAGGTTTAGATCTTCATCACTGCCTCTATCTTCCATATCTACATCTATTCCACCTACAAAAGAGTATAAAGTGAGATTTGCAAAATGGATTATGCCCAGACCAAAGATAAATAAAAAAAGAGGCCAAACCCATAAGCGGCCCCTTTAAGTTGGCCCTGCTTTTTATTTTGGCACCCCAACTTAGACCTGTTCCATTTTGACACTCGAACCACTTCTCCCATGTGCCATTTAAACATAAAACACTGACCTGTCACATTGAATGAAGTTCTCCACCCAAGTCGCACGTGAGACAGAAAAGACTCTCTGTCAATGTAATTACTTATTACCGTTGGAGCCCCATTTATACCCCACTTCTTCCTTCCCTTTCTCCTTTATCAGATGTAAAAAAGCCCTATCTATCCATAGATCCATCTCCATGAACATTCTAAAGGCTTCTTCTTTCTATAATTTTCTACAGCTTAAGCGAGATTAATATAAAAGTAAACCTCCTCCTTCTTCTTCTTCTGTAATTTCTTCCGTACTTCTTTTTATTTTGTGATTTTGAACTTGAACTCCATAGCCATTGTAGTTATGTCGAAAGGAGCAGAAAGTTCTCATAAAGGATGGGGTGTGGGTTATTTTTTATCCAGTGTGGACTTTTTATCGGGTTCAGGTTTTTTTAACGGGCACGGTTTGAGATTTATTGGGAGGGAATTACGTGGATAATAAATCCAAGTGGTAGTCAATAATTGGTTAGCTTTACACGTTGGCAACGGTTATGAACACGCGCCTGAGTCATAAGCACATGTCAGTGTTTTGTATTTAAATGACACATGGGATAAGGGGTTCGAGTGTCAAAATGGAACAGGTCTAAGTTGGGGTGCCAAAATAAAAAGCGGGGCCAACTTAAAGGGGTTGCTTATGGGTTTGGCCTAAATATAAATACAAGTTTATGAAGCCAAGAACACTGACTTCAATTGAGAATTAAGAATGCAAACACAATGAACAATTTTAAAGAAATCATGAGAACTGCCTTGGTCATTTGCTCTACAAGTCTGGCTAGATACTGAAATTCTGATTTTTGTGAGTCCAATAGCAATAATGGTATATTGTTATGAAATGTCAAAATTGTATCTTTATCGGCCAAGCTCCACATGATAATCCTATAGAACGACAAGATTTAAATGAAAGTACCTTGGACTTATCTTTGGGCCAGGAGGCACATGAACAAAAGTGATCACACTAGAGATGGTCGGTTGGTCAAAGTGATCAAACTAGAGAAGTAGTTCGACAACAATAGCTACTGTATCAAGATTGAAGGGCTAAGATTTATTCTTTTATTTACTTTGTCTTAGTATAGTTCAAATTTTTTGGAGCAAGTATTTGTTCTCTGTATATATCGCCATAAGAGAGAACAAGTGTTTGCACTAAACAAAGTACCAACACTCTTGGCTAAATCAAAACAACAGAAGTAGCAAAAGCTAACATAGTACAATCTATAAACTACCTACTAGGAACGCAAGAAGCAAAAGTAAGCAAACAATCAACAAAGAAAATAGGGAATGACAGTTCAACTATTCTAAGAACCTGAAATTACTAAATAAAGTTGAGGTAGAATTATGTATGCATACTAGGATCTGCTTCTTCAGCCTAAGGAAAAAACCAGGAACAAAATACAAACACCTCACTTAGTTCAGTTAATATCAGAATGGAATTGTTCCTGTCAAAATGAGTGCACATCAAATTTCAACGGAATACCATATCCATTTAAGCCTGTCTCAGTCAGACTACATATTAACAGAAAAAAGGAGGAAAATTTATTTATCTAAGACTCTAAATAGTCGAGTTTGCGCATGAATGCTTAAACTCTGAGCAAGTAAATACTAAGTTTAGGAGCTCCATCACTATCAGGATTCATCATGTAGAATACCTATGAATCAATATTCACTAAGAAGGAGCTTAGTCATGCAGAAAAATCAAGAACTGACCCTTCAGAACTTGGTTCAACTTCCAATTTCTCTGTCACATTTAGTCAAGAAGTTGTTCCTTGACTGATATAACCAAGTGCTTGAAGCTCTTCACCTACACTCTTGTGCACTGATAAAGAGAGAGAGCGAGAGAGTGCACAATAGTGGAGAAGCAACATAAAAAAGAGGAAAGAGAAGACGTGTAACATTTGCTACGGACTAACCTTGGTTGTTACTGCCAGCTGATGGATGATTGATTGGTTGAATAGCACCTTGTTGTGCAGAAGTAGCTTCACTAGGTGCACGAGCACCGAATATTAGCATGTCAGGATCAAGTCTTAAATCGGGGTTGAGATGTTGAAGTCGTGTAACGACGTTCATCGTAATATCTTGTTCCATAGCATCTTTTTGTGCATTGAGCTCTTCCAGCAATTTTTCCTTTTGTGCATTGAGCTCTTCCAGCAATTTTTGTTGCATCCTCTCTTCCATTTCCTCCATTTTTGCTCCATTCTATCATCAGTAGCATTTACAGAGGATCCAAAATCTCCTTTTTCTTCTTTTTTAAGACAGTCTTGTTAACTCCTCGTCCATACAATCTTGCCCGACCAGGGTGCTCAGGTCCCATGACTGATGCAAACGCGTCAACTGAATCACTGCCATCTCCATTTTATTGAGTTGATTGTATTCACTCCATTTCAGCCTACAAACCAAATGCAAGAGAACAGAGTTTGAGTAAATAAAACTAAGTCGATAATTAATAACAAATAAATAATCACAACAAACATTAAATTAGAAATTTCTTACAATTTTACTAATTGTATTCTCATGAAAGCTTATGTATACTCGACCATGTTTTCTCTTTCTTGTTGCCACAAAGATGTCCTTACTTGATAGAGTATCCGAAGTATCAGTCATTTCCTTCTTTTTTCCTAGTAACATGAAAACTGGTATAATAATATTTTCATGCAAAGTTAGCAAGTTCATACTTAAAGAAAAATAAGAAAAAAAATCAAACCTCGATGATTCGAGCAAAACTTGTTTTGCCAGCAGTGTGTGGATACTTTACCTTTTTTCGATTCTCGATATTGGTTTCAGACGTTTTCTGCAAATACACAAGCAAAGATTGACAAGGGGCAACTCTCCTTTGTGATTTCAAAGACAGGATGCATATGTATATAAAGTCATGATTGTTCCATTCTTTATCTAGACAACATTGACACGTTATTGTTTTTTTCACCTTTATATCCACATGTGCAATGCCGACAAGATTCGAGTACATAGCCTACACATCAAGTGGTCATTTAGTACAAAATATTATTATTGTAGATAATCCATATAGGATAAGAGTTTCTCACCTTTTTAATTATGTGTTTCATTATTTAAATGAAAACAAACATTAGGGTCCATCACTAATGTGTCTGATTAGAATCAAGAATCATTCCTTATCCAACTAATAGAGTTGGAAATGTTCTACCATATGCGAAATAATTATCCACTTGTACCAAACAGTATGGGTTCTTCAAAGTTGCAGTTTGGTATTGAGTTGTTGTGCCCCACTACAATAGAGGCACTGGAATAAGATACTATTACATACCAAAAGCACTATCATTATTCTAGACATAACCGAAAAAGTCTCTTAAGTTCCCCTAATGTGAGATTTTTTTTATGCGTATTCAAATTTATTCGTACGGACACCTAAATAACCACTTTCAATTTGTAAGGGGTAGGGTTGCACAAGGAGCGTTATTTAATTTATTTGAAGTAGTGAATATGGGTATTAAGCAGACTTCTCTTTCTGTTTCTTTGGATTTAGAGTTTCTCGTTATCATTGGAAATTCAATGGCTGTCACGACCCTAACCCCGAACCCGGTCGTGATGGCGCCTCTCGTGAAGACAAGGCCAGCTAGTCTAACCTAATTCATCTTTTAAAGCAGTTAATTAACACAAATATAGTCTAAACATGGTTTAATAATACTAAATAGCAGAAAATATAGATAAAAATGCGGAATCCAGCCCGACACAGCCCTAACTGGGGTGTCACAAGTCATGAGCAACTAAGGATCCCAATACGAGTCTACTAAATACAATATCTGGTACAACTATTTGAAGGACATAAAATTAATAAGATAAGGTAGACACGGGGGATGCGGACGCCAACAGCTACCTCGTAGTCTCCGAAACACCCCTGGACTGGAGGAAATCAGCACTCAGGAGCGGCACCTGCTATGCCTGAATCTGCACACAGAGGTACAGGGAGTAAAGTGAGTACTCCAACTCAGTGAGTAATAAACATAAATAATGGCTGAAAGCAAGAAATCACGTGAAAACACAAAGCTATACCAAAGCAGTAAAATCACTTGTAACAGTAAATCAGTGAAATATCAAGTAAATTTTCCTATTTCAACCAGTAAAACAAGTAATTCGGCAGGTAATTAACAAATAGAAATCCGCCCCTCGGGCAACAACTCAGAATAGTACCAGCCCCTCAAGCTCATTCTCAGAATAATATCAGCCCCTCGGGCTCACTCTCAGATCAGTATCAGCCCCTCAGGCTCACTCTCAAAATAGTATTAGCCCCTCGGGCTCACTCTTAGAACAGTATCAGCCCCTCGAGCTCACTCTCAAAACACAATGGGTACCCGCACTCACTAGGGGTGTGCAAACTCCGAAGGGGTCCCTTACGGCCCAAGCGTAATATCAAGTCATCTCGTGGAATCATCTCTCGGCTCTTGGCCTCACATCACTCAAGCCATCTCGTGGCGTGTAAATGTATCTCAGGCCCTCGGCCTCATATCACTCAGTGTATCCTCATATCTGGTCCTCGGCAGCACTTAGTAAGAAAATCATCACAAGCCCCTCAGGCATTTGTAAAACAGTAGTTCTCGGCCCAAAACATCATTTAGAAATATCATTTAAGTCTCAAAACTGAGTAAGAGAGGCTGAGTTATAAAACAGTGGAAAAACAACAGGATTGAATTCAAGTAATAAATTAATACAGTGAGGAAATATTGATAAAAATCCCCGGAGGGTTCAAATAGTTGACACGAAGCCCAATTATGGCAATCAGCCCAAACCTTGATGATAACAAACAAGTTTCAGTCAAATACGCGGTAAAATCATAAATCGGGATGGACCAAGTCACAATCCCTAATAGTAAATGACTCCACGCTCATCATCAAGCGCGTGTCTCACCTCAATATAGTACTACGATGTGCAATCTGGGGTCTCAAACTCTTAGGACATCATTTACAATCATTACTTACCTCGAACCGGCTACAACTCTATCTCGTGTCGCCTTTGCCCCTCGAATCGGCCTCCACGTGCATCGAATCTATCCAAAATCAGAACGAATATGTCACAATATTCTAAGGGAAAAAAGCCCAAGCAAAAACAATTGAAAAATATCAAAAATCCCGAAATTAGCAAAACCCGAGCCCTAGGCCCACTTCTCGAAACTCAAAAATTTTCACATCATTAGATTCCTTATCACCCCACGAGTTCATACATATCAAAAGTTCGCAAATTCGACCCCAAATAGTCCTCCAAATCCCAATTCAAAAGCTTAAAATCCCAAGCCCTAGTTCTTCCATTTTTAGCTTAAGTTTCATGATTTTCTATATGGATTTCGCAATAGATTCAATTTTTTGGTCCGAAATCCTTACTTCCAAACGTTTCTCCTTGAATCCCTCTTCGATTACCTTCAAAAAGCTCTCAAAAAGACCAACTATGGAGTAAATGAGCTTAAAAATCGCGGATGAAATGAATTAAAACATTCTGCCCAGGGGTTTTCGCATCTGCGACCCCAAAGCCCGCTTCTATGGTCATTTCTCCGCATCTGGGGAATTTCCTTAACGAGCCAAAACCGCATCTGCGGTGCACTGCCGCATCTGCGACTCCGCAGGTGCGGTCCTTATTCCGCATCTGTGGTTCCTGACCTCTCTCCTCAAATCCGCATCTGCAGAAAATCCTTCGCACCTGCAATGCCGCACCAGCGGTCCCCAAACCGCAGGTGCGAAAACACCAGATGCAACAGAAATTCTGCAATCACTCAAGTCCAAAAATCTTCCCGTTAACCATCCGAAATCACCCCGAGGGCCCCGAGACCTCAACCAAAAGCACAAACATAACCCAATACCTTATTCAAACTTGTTCACATCATCAAAACACCTCAAACAACATCAAATTACCCGAAACACATCGGATTCCAGCCTAATTTTTGAGAAATCTTCTAAAATACGCTTTCAATCAAAAATCCAACCTAACCACATCCGAATGAACTAAAATTTTGCACACATCCAAAATGACATAACGAAGCTACTGCAACTCTCGGAATTCCATTCCGACCCCTATATCAAAATCTCGCCTATCAACCGGAAATCGTCAAAATATCAACTTCGCCAATTCAAGCCAAATTCTACTTTAGACCTCCAAAACTCATTCCGATCATACTCCTAAGTCATAAATCACCTCCTAAAGCTAATCGAACTATCGAAACTCATATCCGAGCCCTCTAACATATAAGTCAACATCCGGTTGACTTTTCCAACTTAAACCTTCTTAAAAGAGACTAAGTGTCTTATTTCTTAACAAATCCACTCCGAACACCAATTAATCCACTCGATCACATAAAACACGGATAACGGAGCAAAAAGAAGCAAAATAGGGGAAACGGAGAGGTAACTCATAAGACGAATGGCCGGGTCGTCACATCCTCCCTAACTTAAACAAACGTTCGTCCTCGAACGAGTCTAGAAACATACCTGAAGTCTCGAATAGGTGGGGATATCTGCTCCGCATATCCCGCTCGGTCTCCCAGGTAGCCTCCTCCACGGGCCAACCTTTCCATCGCACTTTCACTGAAGCTATATCCTTTGACCTCAACTTCCGAACCTGACAACCCAAAATAGCTACTGACTCCACATCATAGGTCAAATCATCATCCAATTGAACCGTGCTGAAGTCCAAAATATGAGACGGATCCCCAATATACTTTTGGAGCATAGAAACATGAAATACCGGATGCACACTCAACAAGTTGGGTGGCAAAGCAAGCTCACAAGTCACCTCCCCAATCCTCCGAAGCACCTCAAAAGGCCAATGAACCGAGGGCTCAATTTTCCTATCTTCCCAAATCTCATAACACCCTTCATGGGTGAAACCTTCAACAGAACCTTCTCGCCAACCATGTAGGACACATCTCGAACCTTCCGGTCCGCATAACTCTTTTGCCTCGACTGCGTTGTATGAAGCCTCTCCTGAATCACATTCACCTTCTCTAAGGCATCCTGGACCAAATCTATCCCCAATAGCCTAGACTCGCCAGGCTCGAACCAACCAACTGGAGATCTACACCGCATCCCATACAAAGCCTCATATGGAGCCATCTGAATACTCGACTGGTAGCTGTTGTTGTAGGCAAACTCTGCAAACGGTAGAAACTCATACCATAAACCTTCGAAATAAATAGCACAAGCACGCAACATGTCCTCCAATATCTAAATAGTATGCTCGGACACCATGCAGCCGAACAATCTCTGCACGGCTCTCCAAAACTGCGATGTAAACTGAGTACCCCGATCTAAAATGATAGAAACTGGAACACCATATAGCAGAACAATCTCCCGAATGTATAACTCTGCTAACCGTCTGAAGAATATGTAGTACACACAGGAATGAAGTGCGCGGACTTGGTCAGCCAATCCACAATCACCCAAATAGCATCGAACTTCTTCAAAGTCTGTGGAAGTCCAACAACGAAGTCCATAGTGATCCTCTCCTACTTCCACTCAGGAATAACCATCTGCTGAAGCAAGCCACCCGGTATTTGATGCTCATATTTCTCCTACTGACAATTGAGACACCGAGCTACAAATCCCACAATATATTTCTTCATTATTCTCCACCAGTAGTGCTGCCTCAAATCCTGATACATCTTCGCGGCATCCGGATGAATGGAATACCGCGAGCTATGGGCCTCCTCCAGAATCAACTCTCTAAGCCCATCTACATTGGGCACACAAATCCGGCCCTGCATTCTCAACACCCCATCATCACCAATGGTCACATCTCTAGCATCATCATGCTAAACTCTTTCCTTAAGGACAAGAAAATGCGGATCATCATACTGGCGCTCTCTGA